AAAAAAAAAGTTAATATAATAAGTATATTCAAATAGTTTAATTAATCGTTCGGGTATCCGTGATCACCCTCTGTACAATATTGATTTGTACAAAAGTTTATAGCTGACTGTACAGTACAGTTTATCTATTTACCTTTTAGAATCATATATCGATATATACATGAGATTTAATACATTAATGAAAATAGCATGCATACATATGGGACCTTTGCAATAGAAAAGTGAAAAACAGCTGATAAAAAATAAAAATTGAGTTAATGCTAAATCTAAACATATTTTGACCTAAAAATCATATTTAGCATATAAAAATAAAATTGATTTTTCCGGTTGTTTTCCCTCTTTTTATTGCAAAGGTCCCATATAATTAAAAATAATAATCTCCAAATTATAAAACAGTGACATGTGATTGTAGATACTAAAATAATCATTAACATTTAACCCAATGCTTTGATTATTTCTTTGGTATCATTTTTGTAATTTCATCTCCATCGTCAGACGATTCTAATGTTAAATCAATCTCATATTGACTTTTAAGTTATTCCATACTTCATTTGCAGAATGATTCGTTGATTAAATGCCCACATCATTCGCAAAACAAATGGAAGCCTTGTTATATCATTATTTAATGATCCAATTTTCCTAACAATGTAAAAGGGCCTAATGCAAATTTCAAGGTCATTTTCCTTTTTGAAATGACCTAAGTCATTTGTATATGATCACGTCAACACTGGCCTAATGTATCCATTTCAAATTTTTTCTGTATTTTTCATCGTTGACGAGACTACCTTTGGCCGCATGCAGAATTTGTTCTCTTGTATTAATTTTTTCATGACAAGGAAGGTATTATATGCTTTAAATAAATGGAGATCAAATATGTTAAAGAGTAAACGTTTTGATTTTATCATTTTAAATCGGAAAAAGAAATAAGTATAGTACCTGTAACTTCTGAACTTTCACCTTTGCTTCTTCTTGCAACTTTTTCTTTGCCTCAATATTTTTTCTTTCGGCTACATGTTTCCAAAAATTTTTATCGCTAATGATCGTTTACTATCCTTTAAGTTGATAAAACAGAAATTTAATTTGAATTTTTCTTATTACATATAAACAAGAACTGGAAACATCACGAACAAGCATCATGATTCCCAAAGTCCATTAAGCATAACTCATCAACAAACATGACAGTCTTTCCCACTACAACCATGACAGATTGCAGGGTAGTTGGTGTACTTAATGAATCAATAAGTCCAAGACGGTTCGTGGAGCAAACTCACCAACAAACGTGACAGTCTTTCCCACTGCAACCATGACAGATTGCAGGGTAGTTAGTGTACTCGCGCTCCTAATCCAATAAAGTTATAACATTAACATTATTAACTTGCCTTAAAAGCATTTTTCCATTTTATTATTTGCTGACCCAATTCTGATGCTTCAGCATATCTGCTAATAGTATTTAACTCATTATTATAACGAGCATACTCGACATCCATTCTTCTATGTCGCCAGCTGAAAATCGAAAATCTAAAACCTTCTTTAAAGAAGGTTGATCCGTTTTCTCCCAAAAGCTAAATAATCAGGAAGGATTAGTTAAGTAAAAAGGCACCATAAGTTTCTTTATAAAGCACTATACAGAGAACGTTGAAACGCCTTATCTTACCAGGGTATTTCAACCCGTTATGACATTCGGGAAGAAGATACATACAGTCAATCCTCTAAATGCACCCCCTTGGGACTATAGTGAAAATGTGCATTTAAAAAGGGTGCATTTAAAGAGAAAATTTCTATATGAATTTATATGCTTGGGACTGAACGAGGGCGTGTATTTGGAGAGAAATATATAGTGTGTGCATTTAGAGAGGGTGCATTTAGAGAGGGTTGACTGTAATAACAAGTTGGAACTCATGAAAATGCGACGCCATTTTCAAAAAAAAAAAAAAAAACCCCCACAAAATACGGGATGATGTGATACAAGATCTATCCAATAAAATTAGTTCAAAAATCACGTGCATACTGTAAGAATTTTTTTCGCATTTTAACGCGCTTTTTTAATTTTTCTTTTTTTCAAAGAAGTAAAAAAAATGACAACTCATTATACAAGGAAATATGCTCCAGGTGCTTGCTTTTTGTGGCAACAATGTTTATATTGCGAAAAAATCTACCTATTATAACATGTGATTTAAATAAAAAACCTACTTTAAAAAACAGGAAAAGAAAAAAGAAATGTTTATTCTAGAGTCTATAATCCACAAACGAAACATAGTGTTGACAATAAATTACAACTTGAAATTGCAAAAGCTAATAAAATTAAATCATATAACGTTAATATATTATAGGATTTCATTTATTTTTAATTATAGCTTCAACTCTCTATAGTATACTATTTACCAAATTTATTAAAACCTTTTCTTCAATTTCTAACCATTTATTCTTCAAAACTACAATAAGCTCTCTATTATTTTTTGATAAGTTTTCATAATTATATACTTTTCTTTCAAGATAATCTCATAAATGTTTAATAGGATTAAGATCTAGATATTAAGTAGGCTATAAAAGAAAAGATATTAAATTATTTTTTTACTATTCAAGTATTACATTTGCTCTATAAATAGAAACATTAACGTCTTAAAAAAATAAAGTTAATATTTAATATTTTCATTTAGGCTTTTTATAAAAGATAATAAATAATTTTCTAACAAATTTTATATACTTTACTTATAATTTTCTATCTAATATCACTAAAAGATCAAACTTATTTTTAATAAAATAACCTTAAATTATTACTTTATTATTTTCAGATTTTATCATAGGTACTAAACAATTTACATTATATTTTTATAAGGTTTATATCAAACCTATTATTATTTATTATTTCAAATAATACAAATCAGAATTTGTTCTTGATATTATTTTAAACGTTTTTCTATTAACTTCTGAAATAAAAAATTTTTGCTTTTTAATTTGACAAATAATCATATTTATATAATATATTTCTAATAGTATTAATACTAATTTAGATAAGATTAAGTTTATTAAAATATTTAGTAATTTCTTTAATAGAATTTTTTCTATTTTCTTTAGTTTATCTTATAAAAATTTTTTTTTATATGGAATGATCTTTTAAAATAAAAAAAAAGTATTTGTAAATCCTTCTTTACAAAATTTTTTTATAATATTTTAATAAGTATTTCTAAATATTTTAGAAATATTAGAAGTTTTATAATTAGTCTAATAATTATTTTATATTTGAAAATAGTTAATTTTCATGATTTTGGTATTTTTAAAAATATTTAGATAATAATTGTAACATCCTGTTACATATTTTATTTGTAATATCCAAAATTTTATCTAATCAAATTTAAGATCAAGTGTAATGTCAATAATTTAGCAAATCAAAACAAAAGATTAGTTGTGTAATGAAAATAAGAATTTTTTAAAAAATTTCAAAAAACTATTTATAAATGAAAATTTTGTCTATGAAACTGTCTTTAATATATTAAGTAAAGTTTTCTAAATTAAATTTTGCATTTAAAAATCATATTTATAAAATATTCAATAAAATAATTATTATTAAGAAAAATAAAAAAAAATGTTATAAATAAGACATATAATAAGATGTTACAAATACATTTTTTCTTTTAAAAATATAGGATTTAAATACTTATAAAAAAAGTTTTTTAAATTTAGTTAAATTTATAATGAGAAATTCTAATTTTAAAAAATACATAATAAAATTTTATTTATCAATTTTTGATTATCAGATATTTTTAATAGTTAGTATATATCATGGATTTGAAAATTTAAAGTATTCTTAACTTAAATAATAATTTTATATAAAATTATATAAAAAAGCTAATATTATTTTAAATTTTAACTAAATCCTAAAAATTAAGAATTTACAAAAAAAAAAAAACCATCAAAAGAAAAGTATATTATCTCTGATTCTTTTAGTCTAGCTAGTTATAAAAACTTAAAAATAAGTTTTTCTTAAAAATACCTCATAAAATCTGAAGAATTACTCTATTTGATTTTAAGTATTAGTAAATTCTTGCTAATATATATAAATTCTTATATAAAAAAAATAGTATCAAAGATATTAGTTGTTAAACTCTTAAACTTTTTATTATGATCAATAAGATTTTTAAAAAGAAATTCTATTTTATCTTTTAAAATGTATCAGACAAATTATTAGTAAAAAAAATTTTTTTATTTTTATTTTTTCTTATTATATATAGATTAGTTATTTCAACAACTAGTTTTATATTTATTTTAATTTTTTTAACTAATCTTTTTTATTATCTTTATAGTTAGAATGAATATAGCTAATATTAGTTTAAAATTTGATAACTCTAATATTTTTTATTTCATCTTATTAATTTGAAAAGTTATTTCTAATAATAAATTTTTATTTAAATCTCTAAATCAGATTGTAATAAAATAAACATTTATTAAAGTTATTTATTATTATTATATTTTATAAATATATCAAATACTAATATAAAATTTTTTAGCCATTTTTTTTTTAATATATTAGATATTCTATTTCTTGATTTTCTAATCTCTATAATATCAGATTTTATTAATTAAGTTGTATTAAATTAATAAATTTTTTATAAAGATGAATAACCATTTTTAATTAGAATATATATGTAGAAAAAGTATCAATAATTTTTCAATACTTTTTAATATATGAAAGCTAAGCTATTAAAATCACCTTACGGGATAAGAAATTGTTTTTGATTAAATAATGATTAAAAAAATGCTACGCCACAATAAACATTTTTAACTAATAATAAATTAGTCTATTTTTAAATATTAAGTCGAATTAATTATTAAGACAATACTAAAATTTATTATTTAAAATTTTTACTATTAAAT